AATGTTTGAATTTAGACTTTATTAAAATCCATAATTAAATAACACCCACTCAATTTAATCTATACTAAAAAAATTAATACTATATTAAAGATAAATTTAGTTAGCTTCTCGCCTGTGGAGCTGTTATAAGATCATACATCCATGTCTATAAATATAGGGTCTTTCATAACTTCATACACAACACTTATTTCCAACCATTTAGATTTTTTTTTCTCTAAAACATTTATAATCTCTCACAACCTCACCAAAATGAAATTGCCTCTGCGTTTTCATCCAGCCCTAGTTGTTTTCGTGCTTGTCGTTGCCACATGTTCATTCATAATTCAAGTCATAATGACATCTAAATGTTTATATTTGTGAAATCATCTATGTTTTATGCATATAACCATAAGCATGTCTTAATAATCATGGTCTCAGTATTAAGAACTATTTTTCTATGATGTATGTAATAACCTACTACAAAAAAAAATCTATATATAACCATTTATGTCTTGTTATAAACATTATTCTACATTTTGAATTACAAGAATGTACAGATCTAATCAAATTGACGATTTTTTCTTGTGTAGAGACAGGATGGACAGAAGCAGCACTTTGTGGGAGATTCAGCAGGGGTTTCACAAAAAAATGTACACCAGCAAACTTGATCGTATGTATAGGCATGTGCCGCATTGTCGAGAATATGCATAGTGCTATATGTCGTGGACATAAATGTTTGTGCACCATTCCATGTTCACGAAATCATTTTAATGATGATGATTATATTTTCAAAAACAAATAACATAAATTTTTATGTTCATGAGATAATCTAATTCATTACTGCTAATTCATATTGGGGGTGATAAAATAATATACAATTATTTTGGTTTCTTATTAATTGAAAAACTAATCTCTAATCGTACATGTTGAGTTTAAATATGCTTCTGTATTCTTTTGAGTTCATATCGTCAAAGATTCATGTTAAACTATTACATGAATCAGATCAAGGATCCCTAGTCTTTTAAAAAACTTTACCCATTTTAGTATTTTACCCTTCAATTCTTCATATACAAGTAATCTAGTTAATACAATCATTCAAATTAATGCGATAAAAAATAAGTACAACGACTGCAATTTGTAGTTACTTTGTTTAAACAATTTTTAATCTTAATATATTTGTTTCTTATTCATTCTTGGAAGAAAATATCAAAATACTTTGTTTTGGGTTGATACTAAAAAACTAGTTAAAATGAGAAAATGTGCAATTTAATATATGTTTTTTTTTTCATTTCATAGTTTCGGCCGTGTTTAAATTAATATTGATCTCAACTTAGATAAAACAATAAAAATCAGAGTGTATATTAGAGACCGGGATCGGACACCCCTGATTTTTAAATATTCTACAAATATGCCTAGAAATCTAGACAACATTTGCGATAATTAATTTAAAAAAAAAACATTTG